TATGTGATGGGTGAAGATTCCTCTCCTGAGACAGTGCAGGCGTGTCAATTACTGATACTAGCCATCACGGCGACGGGAGGCCTCCCAGTCATCAGCTAGCCCATTTATTGTCTGGTTTCTGTTTATGGTAGAGTCAGGGGCAGGCACCACACCAGTGTTTCCAGGGCATCAAAGGCTGACTGCCTTTCTCTTGCTGCTATTGGGGTGGGGTGGGGTGAGGGTTTCTCAAAAATCAAAAGTGGGCGTGATGTCAAAAAGTTTGGGAACCAGTGGTCTAGCCTGCGTATATCATTTTTTGGCTTCATATATCACGCTTTCTTTGAATGGACAGCGGATTTGGACATTCTGAGGTGACTTATGAATGCGACTAAAATTAGGTAAATAATACAGCAAAACCAATCAAAATCTTTCAATACTTAAATGCGTTTAGGGACCCTAACATGTGACCTAGTGGTTAGAGCATTCCTGAGGGTGGGGAGTTTGTGTGTATTCACACATTTAATGGCAGTGTAAACAAGGAATTTGAAATTTGTTCATGCAGCAGTTTAGGGGCGTTCTTCCCTATGGTTTAGAGTTCGAAATGGAGTGATTAGATTGACCTGAGCGCTTTAGGCATGAATGTTTTAACTTGGGGATATTTAATTTTCTCCTTACTATAAAATGGTTCGTTTTAATGATGATTCTAGCAGGTCTGCTCATCTCAGACATCAGCTGAACAGCGATTTCCCTTGAGATCAGACGTTCTGTCTCCATTTATTTTCTTCCAAAGGAGACATTCCTTTTTTCTTTCTATTGCTTTGCTTTCGGGACAATGGTTCTCCGATGTCTGTGATTTCTCCTTTGGAATCCATGATTTTGCCTTTGAGATTTGTCATAACACTGGCCTGGAATGGTTGTTTTTCCATTTGCGATTTAAATCTCAACTCGCCTCGATGTAATAATTGGAAATTCCCACTGGCAGAAATATCCAGGGAGATTATATCATCGGCTATAAAGCAGAAATTGCCAACGGAGAGAGACATTTATCGCCGTGAAATGCAATAACGGGCAATATAACATGCGGATTTGTAGGATCGAGACATCGAGGTGGGTTCAGTGAGATAACTGAACCCTACCAAGCATAGAAGAGAATGGAAAACATGATGCAAAGGTTGTAATTTCTCCAAAAATCTCAGTCAAGGGTGAGTTTCCGGGGGGAAAGGGCAATAGATCATTCAGAGCAAGGTAAAGAAGCCAAGTTGCAACAGAAGACTCTGACACAGACTAGAAAAAGCCTTCTTTGGCATCCACCATGGTGGAAACCAGCAGGGCTTTTTCTAGTCTGTGTCAGTCCAGGGGGTAGCACATAAAAGCAGATGGGTTAGGGCAAAAGATGCCAAAGAAAGAACAGTGAATGGCTCTTTGATTTAGAACGTCTGAACTTAATAATGGCCATATTGGATCGGACCACAGTCCATCAAGTTTGGTATCATGTCTTGTGACAGTGTCCAAAGCCAGGTGCCCCATAGGGAGTGAACAAAATGGGGAACCCTAACCCCAACCCTAACCCTCCACTATCGCCCAGCCTGACCTCACCTCCATGTTTTTATTAAGTTCATCGGCACCATGTGCGTTTTATTGCTTGTAAAATCATTTTTTAAAAGTTTCACTCCCTCTTCTGTATGAGTGTGAGATTCTGGATTGTTCTTTCTGTTTCATCGGGTTTAAAACAAACAAAAGGACGTTTTTCTTCACTCGGCGCACGGTCAACCTGTGGAACTCCTTGCCAGGGGATGTGGTGAAGGTTAGAACTTTAACAGGGTTCAAAAAAGAGCTAGATAGATTCATGGAGGTGAGATCCATCAATGGCTATTAGCCAGGATGGGTAGGAATGGTATCCCTAGCCTCTGTTTCTCTGGAGGTAGGTGACAGGAGAGGGATCATTGGATGGTTCCCTGTTCTGTTCACTCCCATTGGGGCACCAGGCATTGGCCACTGTCGGCAGACAGGGCACAGGGCTAGCTAGACCGTTGGTCTGACCCAGTACGACCGCTCTTACGTTCTTATGCCAACGTACCATTGCAGCTGGAGAAACAGATGATATGGGCACATTGGAAGTCAAAGGATGAAGCTATCAGAAGGTAGGATAAATGAAGAAATGTGCAGGGAAAAGCAAGGAAGAGATTTTCCACTTATTGGCTCGGATACCTTTGCTTTAACAGCAAGGATCTGCTACTTCTCTTGAAACAGATCTGTATTTTTTAATTGCTCATCATTTTTTTCTGAAATAAACAATCTTTCTCCCTCTGATTTACTCTTTGTATTTTTATCTTATTCCATCTATCCATCTTATCTTTGTTTCTCCACTTTTTCCTTCAGGCAACTTCTCCCTTCTGGATAAATATGGCTCTCTGATTTCTCTCTTGGTGAGTTTTCATTTTTATTTTGCCAACTTTTCTTTGTACGGATTTTGTTTTCCCCTCTGAGTTCCACTTATGTAAATCCATATGAAGCGGACGCAACCTGCCCTGGCGTAACTGAGAGCTGTGGGCCGTGGTTAGGTTTTCGTGTGCGGGCTGTGGTTAGGTTTTCATGTGTGTCTATTTCTTTTTCTTTCAAGTGGTACTTTTTTTTTCATTGAAAACGCTCTGGCAGAAGTCAGCTGGTTAGAACGTTGTGTGGAACACGGCCGGGTGGGTGTTTTGGCTCGTGTCAGGCAGAGTGTGTTTATCCCATATCGTGGAGGTGTATTTCCCTGCTCTACACACAAGCTTAAACAGAGCTAAAAATAGCGGTGTAACCTGGGCACACACACTAGGCCTGAGCCCAAGCCCTTCTGAGACCCCAAGCGGCACATACACTGTGAATGGCTAGCCAACTACAAAAACACTTTCTCCTCTCTTGGGGTGCGTCTTGACTGGCAAGATTTTGTGCAAAAGCGGCCGCTTTTGAGCAAAAACTTGATGCCTGTCTACACTGACCACGAGAATTTGTGCAAGAACACTGACTTTGTAATGTATGAAATCAGTTGTTCTTGCGCAAATACTCTGACGCTCCCGCTCAGGGATAAGCCCTTTTGTGCAAGTATTCTTGCGCAAGACAGCCAGTGTAGACAGGCAAGTTAATTTCTTGTGCAAGAGAGTGTCTAGACTGGCACTGACGTCTTTTGCGCAAAAGCAACTGTGCCAGTGTAGATGCTCTTTTGAGCAAATACTTTTAATGGAAAAACTTCTCTGTTAAAAGTATTTGCGTGAAATCATGCCAGTCTAGACGCAGCCTTGGTGTTCACACCTCCACATCAGCTTCTAAAACTGGGCCACATCCTCCCTGACTGAGTTGACTTCCTTATCTCTGGCCTTCCTCTTGATTGGTACTCCCTTCCTCTCATGTGCTTGCACATTTATACCTGCCTCTGGAATTTCCACGACATGCTTCTGATGAAGTAGGTTTTTGCCCACAAAAGCTTATGCTCCAATACGTCTATAAGGTGCCACAGGACTTCTTGTTCTTTATACAAAGGTGAGTAATCCAAGTGTCTGCCTGGGCTAACGTGTTCACACGGCTAATTTTATTCTGCTAGGCTGATCAAAACTAGTGCATGGAGGTCTTTCCAAGGTGGGAATTTCACCTCCCCGAAGCAGGGCAGGCATACCCATGGCTAATCTCTATACAACTTCATTGCCAACCTATTGAGTTTCGTGATGTTTTCTAGCTTAATTGACAGGACAACAATCTAATAAAGATATTTCAAATTCCCAGCCTTCTCGCTGTTAGTTAACGGTCAATGTCACTTGGGAAGTCCGATGGGACATTTCTGTAGCTCAATAGGTCTCCGTACTCTTGGGTCACTTCTACCACAAGCCCCAACTCACTAAACGTACGTCTAGACTACAGGCTTTTGTCGACAGAGGCTTTGTCGAAAAAGAGCATCTAGACGACAGCCAGTTCTGTTGAAAAAGCAAGCTGCTTTTTCAAAAGAGAGTGTAGATGCTCTCTTTTGAAAAAGCACAGTATGGATGCAATAGCGCCTTTTTGCGACATAACTCTGTCAAAAAAAGGCATTATTCCTCATATAATGAGGTTTACTGTTGTCAACAACACTGCCGTGTTCTCTCAACTTACTGTTGACAGAACGCGGCAGTAGAGTAGACTCAGGTATAGTTTTGTCGACAAAAGTCCACTTTTGTTGACAAAATCGTTTCGTCCAGACACACCCATATGAAGGAAGCCTTCCTCTGTTGACCGGCAACTTCTTCTTTCTGGTGGGGAGGTGCAGTGACAGGAGGTTACCTACACCTGGTCTCTGCCAGTGTAGCCGACTGCACAACCTGACCATGTGCACTCCATTGTTCTTTAATGCTTTTTTCTGACCAGATACGTACTATGGAGGCAGCAGAAGGAAGAAACCAAACCGTCATCATGGAATTCATCCTCTTAGGGTTTGGGAACAGCCCAGATCTGCAGCCCCTTCTCTTCCTCGTGTTCCTAGTGATCTACCTTGGGACCGTGGCTGGGAACCTCCTCATCATCGCACTGGTGGTGGCCGATCGGCACCTGCACACCCCCATGTATTTCTTCCTGGGGAACTTGTCCTGCGTGGAGACCTGCTACAGCTCAGTTATCCTGCCACGGCTGCTGGCCAGTCTCCTGACTGGAGACAGAACCATCTCGGTTCAGGGCTGCCTTGTGCAGCTGTATTTCTTTGGCATCATGGCCACGGCAGAAAATCTGATGCTCTTTGTAATGTCCTATGATCGGTTTTTAGCCATCTGCCACCCCCTCCGTTACGCCGCGCTGATGAACGGCCGGGTGTGTGGCCAGCTGGTGGCGGCGGCCTGGGGGATTGCAGTGCTGCTCTGTACCATTGTAGACAGTTCCTTCTTCCAATTAACGTTTTGTCATTCCGAAGAAATCGACCATTTCTTCTGCGATCTCTCACCCGTGATAAAACTGTCCTGCAGTGACACCCGTATGCTGCAAGCTATGGCATTTGCAGTCGCTTCCATAACACTTGGGGCCTGTTTGCTAATCGTAGGGTCCTACGTTTGTATCCTCTCCACCATCCTGCAGATTCCATCCACCGCCGGGAGGCAAAAGGCCTTTTCCACCTGCTCCTCCCACCTCATCATGGTTGCAGTTTTCTATGGGACCCTGATCGCCGTCTATGTGTTTCCAACAGCCAGCACTTCCAAAGTCCTAAGCAAAATATCCTCGGTCTGCTACACAGTCCTGACTCCTTTGATCAACCCCGTCATCTACAGCCTGAGAAACAAGGAGATCAGCGAGTCCCTGAGAAAAGCTCTTCAGAAACTGGCTTGTTTCAGAAACAGGCACAGAAGCTTAAGGACAAATTTTAACAAATAGTAAAATAATGTTGAACAGAAATGGTTACTTACTTTTCATCTATTTATCTATTTCATTGAGGGGTGTAATTTTCTATTTAAATACAATCATAGATTCCCAGGGTTGGCAGAGACCTTAGGAGTTATTGAGTCCAATCCCCTGCCCAAAGCAGGACCAACCCCAATTCAACCATCCCAGCCAGCGCTTGGTCAAGCGCTTGGGACTTAAACTCATCTAGAGGTGGAGATTCCACCCCCTCCCAGTGCTTCCCCACTCTCCTAGGGAAATAATTTTTTCCTAATATCCAACCTAGACCTCCCCTAATGTAACTTGAGACCATTGCTCCTGTTCTGCCATCTGTAAAATAGCCATAACACTATGGCTTCTAGTGCGGACAGTGAATTGTGGTGATAAAGGTGTCTTATGTTGGTATAGCCGATTGCCCCTGATAGCTAATAGCCTAGTAGCTTCATACTGGGTATCAGAGCAACTGCTCTGAAGAAGTTGTACAGTTTGGACAGTACCAATACCACAGAAGTCCACAAGGTTCTACCAATACCATGGTACAATTTGTGTGGGACAGTCTCTCTCACTCAGGGTATGTCTAGACTACAGGGTTTTGTCAACAGAAGTTTTGTCGACAGTATCTGTCGACAAAGTTTCTGTTGACAAAAAGCGTCTAGACGACATCCAGTTCTGTCGACAAAGCAAGCCGCTTTGTCGACATAACAGTGTGGATGCAAAGGACAGTGTAGATGCAATAATGCCTTCTATCGACAGACCTCTGTCGATAAAAGGTGTTATTCCTCGTAGAATGAGGTTTACATATGTCAACAAAACTGCTGAGTTTTGTCAACGTTATGTCGACATAACTCAAAGGCAGTGTGGATGCAGGTCTAATTTTGTCGACAAAAGTCCACTTTTGTCGACAAAACCCTGTAGTCTAGACACACCCTGGCTACATCTACATTGGCCCCTTTTCTGAAAGGGGCATGTTAATTTCAGAGATCGTAATAGGGAAATCCGTGGGGGATTTAAATATCCCCCGCAGCATTTAAATAAATGTCCGCCGCTTTTTTCCGGCTTTTAGAAAAGCCGGAAAAGAGCGTCTACACTGGCCCCGATCCTCCGGAAAAAGTGCCCTTTTTCAGAGGATCTTATTCCTACTTTGAAGGAAAGCTTTGAAGTAGGAATAAGATCCTCCGGAAAAGGGCGCTTTTTCCGGAGGATCGGGGCCAGTGTAGACGCTCTTTTCCGGCTTTTCTAAAAGCCGGAAAAAAGCGGCGGACATTTATTTAAATGCTGGGGGGGGGATATTTAAATCCCCCGCGGATTTCCCTATTACGATCTCAAAAATTACCATGCCCCTTCCGGAAAAGTCTTTTCCGGCTTTTCTAAAGGCCGGAAAAAAGCGGCGGACATTTTTATTTAAATGCCACGGGGGATATTTAAATCCCCCGCGGATTTCCCTATTACGATCTCTGAAATTAACATGCCCCTTTCGGAAAAGGGGCCAATGTAGACGAGCCCCCTCAGTGACTTCTTTATTCCTTAGTTCCATCTGTTGACTAAGAATTTATATTCTGCCCCCTAACATCTGAAAAGAATAGATCAGTTTTGGAGTCCAGAGTTGAGAAGCATTTAACCAACATAGATTGGTTTTGTCATCAATTAGTTGAATTTTTCTTTCAGTAGTTCTCCAGCCATGAGCAATGACCCCATTGTGAAGGCACTGAAGGGATGCAGAAAAAGATTTGTTCCTTGCTCCCAAGAGCAGAATCCATGGGGTTCTTCGCAGTAGCAAAATTCAGTGTTTACAGCATTGGGGCATTAGGGTAAGACTGGGGAAGGTCTAGGTTGGAAATTAGGAAAAACTATTTCCGTAGGTGGGTGGGGAAGCCCTGGAAGGGTTCTCTAGGGAGGGGGTGGAATCTCCATCCCTAGAGGTGTTTAAGACAAAGCTTGATCGAGCCCTGGCTGGATTGATTTAGTTGGGGTTGGTCCTGCTTTGGGCAGGGGGCTGGACTTGATGTCTCCTGAGTGCTCTGCCAGCCCTGTAATTCTATGATTCGATGATTCTAAGACTGGCAGACTTCAAGTCAATTCTGGTTGGTAAGAGACGTGCTCATTTTAAGTCATCCAGGGGTGAGATTTCTCCAAAGCACTGTTAATCCCCAAATGCCACTGACTTTGGAATTCCAACCTTGATTCAACGACTGTTATTCACTGAATCCTAGAAAAGTAAGACTAAATGGGCACGTTTACACTACAGTGTTATTTTGAAACAGCTCACGTTATTGCAAAATAGCACAGGAAGCGTCCACACAGCAAACTCGTTATTTCTAAGTTATTTCGAAATAGCGGGCTTCTTCCAGAAGAACAAACCCTCATTCCACCGGGAAGAACGCCTGTTCTTCCACAGAGCATCCACACTGCCCACTCACTCTTGTGCAAGAAGTAAAGCGTGCTAAGAGAAGGCTTCTTGTGCAAGAGCTATGCTCTTTTCTAACAGGTGTAAGCTCTCTTGCGCAGGAGCTCTTGCACAAGAGGGCAGTGTGGACGCTTGGCAGGGATTTCTTGCACAAGAAACCCATATGGCTAAAATGGCCATCAGAGCTTGCTTGCGCAAGAGAGTGTCCATCCCACAATGGATGCTCTTGCGCAAAAGCACAGCTCGCACATGGCAGGGTGGACGTTTTCTTGCTCAAGACTTCTTGCACAAGAACCCTTGCGCAAGATGTTCCTGCGCAAGAAACCGCGAGGGTAGACATAGCCTTGGAGTTTGACCTCTTCCACATCATCAGTGCTTGATCCTGCCATTAGGGCAGAGGACTGGACTCAATGACCTCTCGAGGTCACTTCCAGTTCTAGTCCTCTATGATTACATGATTCTTCGATTAGTTCATTTATTGCTCTGCACCTTCGTTTGGGTCACGTTTCTTCCGTGCATTAGAATTCTGAGACTCAGAGCCAATTTGTTTCAGATACAATGAAACTGTGAGAAACAACGGGGCCTTTGCAACGAAAAGGATTGAGGCTCCTAGTGACTTGGGAAGTCCCATAAGATGCCTTAGTACCATTAATTTTACCCTGTCCCTCATTAAAACAACAGAGCTTATCCTCTTGTGACGGCGTGTTGGGGCGCCCCCAACCCTGCACCCCCATCTGCAGCCAGATGTGACTCTCATCCAGCCAGTAGAATAGAAGATGTATTAGTTCTCAGGGACATAGCGTAGCATACGATCGGTGTTAGCACAGGTACTGAGAGCAGGCAGCCTTATTCCTCTTGGGGGGAAGGGGCTTATGGGCCCTGAACCCCCCTTACCTGCTCTCAGTCTCCTCAGGTCATCCTACCCGGCAGAGACTAACCCACACTCCCAGCAACTGGTCCCTCTGCCCCTAGTCACAGAATGACTGCTCAGGACAAGACCCAGATTGCAGCCCCTTTACTTCAGCCATCTCCTCTGGCCTTCAGTGTTCAGTGCAGTGGCTGGTTCTCAACCAAGTCAAACAAAGGGTATATATACACATGGAAAGTTTGCGGGGCGGGTGGGGAGGGAACCACTGCAGCAAGCCTCATAGCCTGGGTCAATAGTCTCGGGCTTGCACTAGAGTGCTAACAATAGCTGCAGATGTTCCAGCTAAGATTCCGAACTCTCCCTCCCCAGGGCTTCAGGACTTGACCTCGAGCCCAAACTAGAAAGTCTACATGCTCATTTTAGCTCCGTAGCTCACACCTTACTATGTAGACTTGGACTCTGTCATGGGTGTTTTTGTTGTATAGACATACCCCAAGAGTCCCATCCCTTCCCAGATGAACAAAGTCTCAAGCTCAAAGGGTATGTCTACACTACCCCGCTAGTTCGAACTAGCGGGGTAGTGTAGACATACCCTTTCTCTGGGAACAGAGTTATCTTCTCAGGCTGGCCCTTAGGCGTCTACGGCCAATACACACTCAGAGCGAGTCATCGGGAATCACACATCACACAATACAGACAGGCAGAAACAACGTTACACAGTAGACAGCGCCCCCACTACATCACGCCCCCTATCTTTGAAATTAACAAAAAAAGTTCACTTGGATTCTATGAATTGGCGTGTAGGTCTAAAATTGATGCACAGAACGTCTCGGGGCCGCCTTGTCACTTTTTATTTCAGGGATCGGACAGGGACGTCAGACCTGTGTAGAAGGGACAGAACACATTTGTTCAGGTCCCTCCGTGGGCTGGACTTTGCAAACTGCTACAGAAAAATTGAGCCCTCATGGTACAGCGTAGTGAAGAGGAGGTGGGCGAAACAAGCGGGAAAAATGGACTTTTTACACCTACCGGAGGAAGGGATTCTCAGGACGGTGAAGTAGGATGTTCAAGAGAACAGGGGAAGAATGCAAATAAGCAGGAAATGGAAAAGCTGTAAATTCTGACCCGTGGGTGCTGCTGCCGGGCAGTTTTGTCAGTGGGGATAAGTGGCAAAGAACATGATCAATTTCAGTGGGGAACCAGAACGGGAGGTTGTGCCATCGATAACGTTTTAACGTCCGTAACCCGCCAGCCACTTCTCCAGGATACAGGCGCTGGCTGTTGTTCATGAACTCAGCGGTCTACAGACCAGTAAATACATGCAGAGAGCTGTCTCCTCTCTCGTCACATCTGTCAAATAAGCCCAAGCCCTGGAATGCCCCTTCTTGATGGTGTCACCCCTGCGGGTACCACCCTAGCTTAGTGCCCTGCTCTCAGGGGTCTCCCCTCCCAGGGACCCCCATACCCCAGCCCTGCCTCCGTGACTCACAGCAGGGGTCATCTAGCCCCTCTAGCAACTGCAGCCTGCTCCGCGTGGGCAAAGGGTGGGGACCTGCACTGGCTGTGTCCCTAGGACCCTCAGGCCTTGCCTCTGGCCCTGCTGCCTGGGAGAGGGGCCAGGCCAGGGTTCCCCTCCCCAGCTCTACCCTGTCTCAGCAGTCCTCCAGCCCCCCTGGCAGCCAGGTCCCTCCTGCCCCCCAGCCAGAGCGAGAGTGAATCTGTCTGTGCCCTTCCCTGAACCCTCACTGATACAGCCCAGCTGGGCCCCCATTAGCTGTCGCTGCCCCAGCTGTGGGGCTCTGCTCTCAGCCTCGCCCCGGGCTGGGTGTGACCCTCACAGGGCTAGTGTGGGGTAAAAGGTCCCCTACCTTTGTCTCCCTTGCCTGTCTAAGTCTTGCATGTCTGGTGTTCCGGTTTGTGTGTGTTTTGGCTGCTCTTTCCTAGCCTGGCTAGTTCCCTGGCTAGTTTGTGTGTATTTTGTGTGTGTGTGTCGGCAGGGGGACCTGCTGCCCTTTCCTAGCCTGGATAGTTCCCTGCAGCCCTAATGCATCCATCTGGGGATGAAGCCAGAGCCCCCCAGCCCTGCCCTGTCTCAGGAAGCCTCCAGCCTCCCTGGCAGCCCAGCCCCACCTGCCCTCAGCACGAGCAATTACGTGTCTGTCTCCTCCCTCCTGGAGCCCTTATTTATACAGCCCCACCTGTGCCCACAGGGGCTGTCCCTGCCCCAGCTGCAGGCTCTGCTTTCCCAGCCCTCACTCAGGGCTGGGTTTGACTCCTACAGGGCCAGCCTAAGGCAACTCCCCGGCAGGGGCAGAAGCCTCAACTCAGGGAAGGCCTGAGGCAGTGAGAACCCAGATGGTTCTGGGGACCTGCCTGAGGGCTGGCTGGGTCTCGGGGGGGCTCAGGCTGGGAGAGAGACCCCCACCAGAAGGGAGAGGGCCTGGTGGGGACCCCAGGCCCTTGAAGATAAGAGCAGGCTGCTCCAGAGGGTGGAAAGTGGCAGAAGGGGAGAGACACCAGCTGAGGGGGAGGCGTGTAGCACCCCATAGGAGATACTTAAGGGGGAGGGTGTATGAAGGGGTGTCTGCCCCACACTGGCCCTTTAAGGGTCAGACCCAGCTGGGGAGAAGGCTGAGCACAAAGCCCCACAGCTGGGGCAGGGACAGCTAGTTGGGGCCCAGCTGGGCTGTATGAAGAAGGGCGCTGGGAGGGAGGAGACAGACACACTCTGGCTGGCGGCAGGAGGGACCTGGCTGCCAGGGCAGCTGGAGGTTTCCTGAGACAGGGCGGGGCTGGGGAGGTCTGGCCAGGCAAACATCCAGGCTGCAGGGCCCTTGCCAATGTGCAGTGGCCCTGTCAGACAGCAGGCTGGTCTCACGTTGCAATGGGGGAGGTCTAGATTGGATATTAGGGCAAACTCTTTCCATAGGCGCACAAGGAAGCCCTGGGCTGGGTTCCCTAGGGAGGGGGTGGAATCTCCATCCCTAGAGGTGTTTAAGTCCCAGCTTGACCAAGCCCTGGCTGGGCTGATTGAGTTGGGGTTGGTCCTGCTTCGGGCAGGGGGCAGGACTCAATGACTCCTGAGGTCTTTGATCACCCGGGACCTCTATGAACTCTGCTCACAAGGAGGTCACACAAGCCAGCCTGACTTCCGGAGAGCATTTCCTTTCTAGGGTGGAATTCAGACCCAGTACACACAGGAACACACACACTGAGAGGCAAAGCAGCTGCTTTCTGAAACGGGAGGTGTTGCTGTAGGCCAGTGTTTCTCCACCAGTGGTACAAGTCCCTCAGGGGGCTTGAGAGAAGGCTGGGGGGGTATGTTCACACAAATGGAATAGTTGTTTTGAGTCCTACAGCACTTGATTATTTTTTGCTCCAAAACTTTAAATGGCCTTTTCAAGGATTGAACTTGCAACCCTGCATTTAGCAGGCCAATGCTTAAACCACTGACTTATACCAACCTGGATCTCCTCCACTGTAACTTGAGACCATTGCTCCTCGATCTGCCACCTCTGAGAGCTGAATCCTGCCTCAGTTGGATTCTCCAAACGTCCACTTGGCTGCTCCCAAACTCCATAGGCCTCTAAACTCAACGTGCAGCCTCCCTTGTGTAGTCAAAGTCTCTAGCTGCCTTAGGCTTCTGGCACAGAATCATACAGTCACAGAATCCTAGGGCTGGGAGAGAGTAAGGAGGCACCGAGTCCAGCCCCCTGCCCAAGACAGGACCAACCCCAACTCAATCATCCCAGCCAGGGCTTGGTCAAGCCGAGACTGAAACACCTCTAGGGATGCAGATTCCACCACCTCCCTAGGGAACCCATCCCAGCACTTCCCCGCCCTCCTAGGGAAATAGTTTGTCCTAATGTCCAACCTTGACCTCTCCCACTGCCGCTTGAGATCGTTGCTCCTCGTTCTCCATGGGGTTTGCAATTAGGGCCTCTGGGTATTAATTAATATCAGTTTTGATTGTGTTCTGTCCCCTGAAATATTGCTTAAAAGAGAGTTTTGAAAGCATGGCCCAATTTGTAACTCCTCCTCTTTTTTTGTTCAGTGGTTACACCAAGGGGCCCTCTGAGCCAGAGTGTTTTCATCACACAGACAATGAGCCATATTTGGAGAAGAGATACACCCCGGGGTTAAGAGGAATTATTCTGAACATACACCACTGTGATCTACCTAGACTCTAGGCCACTGTGTGCAAGGTTTTCCAGCATCTCAGAAGGAGAACACAGAAGATTTGGTACGTTTGGGCTGCCACTGGAACCAATCCATGCCGTCCATGGACAGGAAACACGGTTACAACACAGGCTGTAAGATCACACTGATAGATCAGAGCCCTGATGCTTTATTTCCAGACTCAGGGCCAGAGTGTTCATGGTATTTATTTGCTAGGAACCTCCTGAGCAGAAAAGACGTGGCTGTTCTGCCGTTGGACACCGCTACCAGGTGTTTTTATGCCCATTGGTCTATGACATGTATCTATCACGATCAAAAAGATGCATGGTACTGTGGTGCACCTAAACTGAGATATAAAGATGCTTAATTTCAAATAACATGCATAGTATCTTTTCCCACATCTAAAAATCAACACTTTTTCCTATGAATCTAGCAGATCAACATAGAATCATAGAACCATCGAGCTGGAAGAGACCTTAAAAGGTCATAAGTCCAGCCCCCTGCCCTAGGCAGGACTAATCCCAACATGTATAATACATCAGGTAAAAAGCTTCAGAGGGGTAGCTGGAAAAACTTAAAAAACAACGAAAAAACGTGGCGTCAGTCTAGAAGCAGGGGAAGTTTTTTCGAAAAAACCCTGTAGTCTAGACACACCGTTACAGTATCAATATTTCTATAACGAAATGTATGAATGATCACTGCTCCAGAATTAGTATAGTGAAAGGAAGGAAGGTTACAGAAATCAGAGTAAGAAGTCCTCCAACTTGACAGTATTTCAATGCTATTCTGAAATAACGGCCTGCTGCGTAGATGCGGACTAAGTTATTTTGAAATAATGCTAGTAGAACTACATGAATTCATTGCTATTTTACCATACATTATATTGTGTCCTTTGGACTCCTGTTTCAGAAAGCAACCATATGACAAATCGTTTTCCTCACAGACTCCTTGACCTCCTTGTTTCTCAGACAGTAGATGACGGGGTTGATCAAGGGGGTCAGGATTGTGTAGAAGACGGAGACTATTTTGCTTAACATCTTGGACGTGTTGGCTGTTGGAAAGACGTAGAGAGTAATCACGGTCACGTAGAAAATGGTAATCACGATGAGGTGTTCATCAGAGTAGCATACCGGAGGGGCTGGCATATGGCTACATACCGGTCGTAGGACATGGCCGCGAGCAGCAGATTTTCAAGAGATGACAGACAACCAAAGAAATACAATTGCACCAGGCAGCCCTTAACAGAGACGGTTCTGTCCCCCGTCTGGAGACTGGCCAGCAGCCGGGGCAGGAAGGTGGAGCTGTAACAGATCTCCAAGCAGGCCAAGTTCCCCAGCAAGTAGTACATGGGGGTGTGAAGGTGCCGATCAGCCACCACTAGCGCAATGATGAGGGCGTTTCCGGCCAGAGTCATAATGTAGATCACTAGGAACAGCAGGAAGAGGAAGGGCTGCAGTTCAGGGCCGTTCCCAAGCCCTAAGAGGATGAATTCTGAGATGAGCGTTCGGTTTCTTCCTTCTGCTTTCTCCATAACATGTGTCTAGAAACAAGAAAAACGTTCAGTTTTGATGGCGTGTCCATGGGCAAGTTGTGCTGCTGGTTACATGCTAGAAACCTGGAGTCAGTAAATTCACCCACCGCATCTCTGCATTGGGGAAATGAAGCCATCAATAAACAGAAGACTCATCTCATTAATATCTTGAGCTTCCAATTTAGGTGAATGAGGAGCATGGAAGCCCAATGAATTAAAGAAATGTGACTCATCCGGCATGCTTAAGTCATCAGGTGCATCTACACAGCAGTGTTATTTTGGAGTAACGGATGTTATTCCGAAATAACATATCATGCCTCTACACAGCAAGCCTGTTACTTTGAAATACACTCAAAATAACGGCCTTCTCACTCTGACTTCTCTTAGGGAATCTAGGCCCACCGTCACTTTTAACTCCTAGCACATTCAGGCTAGGTGCCCTGCTCAGTGCTACAGCATGGGCTGAGAGCCAGCTGGATTTTAGCTCAGAGGGTAAAGGCTCCCCTAGTAAGGTCCTGCGTTCAAATCTCACTGGTGGAAGTTACAGAAGCATTGACCCCAAACCCCCTTCGTGAGTCTAGCCCAAAGGACTTAGGCACTAGAGTAGGTGAGATTGAGGGATCTCAACACTGGAATATCCCCGGTGGTTGTGACACTTATGCGTGGGATTGCAAAACCCCTGCTAACGTCTCTTTTTACTTTCGGGTGTTGGGAGAACTTGAACTGGGGGGGGGGGGTCTCCCTTGGCCTTGGGGAATTCTCTGGCTGCAAACAAACAGCATCCACCCTCTTGCTCAATTCACACCCTCCAGCAAGCATCTTATAAATGCCCACCAGATGTGAACACCCAATTCCCATGACTTTTGCTGAAAAACAGAGAGAAAATGTTTGTGTTTTTCCAAAGTGTCTTTACATGAGAATGGGAATGAGTTCCAGGGAGCCAGCTGAGGTAACAACGCTGGTGCCATACTGCAAAAAATGGAGCAGCCACTATTCGAAGCTGGTGGGGAGCCCAAAGTTAAGTTTTTCCCACCCTGCACAAATAGCCTCATTGCTACCTTTCTGGTTACCCAGACGCTAACAACTCAGTTCCCTTAAAGCAGTGTTTCTCAGCCTTTACAAAAAAAGGCTATTATAAGTATCCCCAATACCTACAGTTTTCAGATACACAATTTTTTTCTACCATTGCAACACATTTGTTTAAACAACTTAATCGTAGCCGGGCGGGCGATGAAATCGTTGGGTGTAAAAAATACAAAAATAGTAAAACGCTGTGAAACTTAAAACAAAAATTCAGTTTTCTCCAAACTTCGGTGGTGTTGACATACCCCCAGACTTCTTTTGAGTAACCCTAAAGGTACTCGTACCACTGCCTTAAAGCAACCCAGCACTCACGTCAAAATGAGATATAGATCTCACTTATCTCATGCACCAAAGTTGTACCAAACCAAAGAGATTGGACACACTACCTCCCAAGTCAATGCGTATTTCAGATCGGATGCCAAATACAAACTATTTCCAATGCTTATTCATGACACTAATATTAAGAACAAAAGAACAAAAGATTCAAATGGATCATGCGAAAGGAACTACATAAATTCATGTCTATTTTACCATACATTAAAATGTCTCTTTTGAATTTCCATAGCTGTTTCTGAAAACAACCAGTTTCAGAACAGCTTTTCTCAGAGACTCTTGGACCTCCTTGTTTCTGAGGCAGTAGATGACAGGGTTAATCAAGGGAGTCAGGACTGTGTAGAAGACAGAGAATATTTTGTGTAGGACCATGGGCATGTTGGCTGTTGGAAACACATAGATCATAGTCATGGTCAAATAGAAAACTGTAATCACGATGAGGTGGGAGGAGCAGGTGGAGAAGGCCTTCTGCCTCCCAGTGGCGGACGGGATCCTCAGGATGGTGGAGATGATACACACGTAGGACGCCAGGGTCAGTAGACAGGGCACAAATGTCCCTATGGAAGCAAGAGCAAATGTCACCAGTTCCAGAGTCCGGGTGTCGCCACAGGACAGATTTATCACGGGGGAAAAATCACAGAAGAAATGGTCAATTTCTTTGGAACCACAGAACTTTAACTGGAACAAGAAAATATTTGCTAGGGTGGGGATGAGAAAGCCGCCTATCCAGGACCCAGCTGTCAGCTGGCCACACACCTGGCCGTTCATCAGAGCACTGTAGCGGAGGGGCTGGCAGATTGCTAAATAGCGATCACAGGACATGGCTGCAAGCAGCAGAGTTTCTGAAGTTGACAGGATACCAAAGAAATATAATTGCACCAGGCAGGCACTGATGGAAATGGTTCTATCCCCGGTCAGGAGCCTGGCCAGAAGCGGGGGTAAGAGGGCGGAGCTGTAGCAGGTCTCCAAGCAGGACAGGTTCCCCAGGAAAAAGTACATGGGGGTGTGGAGGTGCCGATCGGCCACAACTAGCACCACAATGAGGAGGTTCCCGGACACAGTCACAAGGTAGGTCACTAGGAAGAGCAGGAAGAGAAGGGGCTGCAGTTCGGGGCCGTTCCCAAATCCCAAGAGGATGAATTCCACGACGGACGTTTGGTTTCTTCCTTCTGCTTTCTCCATGAATCTAGAAACAGAAGAGCTTTTCAATGTTGCTGGAGAGCAGCCCGTCAGGTTGTTCTGTGGGATACATGGACAGAAACCTGCAGAAGGTAACCTCCCAACGCTGTGTCTTTCCCCGGTGGAAAGGAAGTTGTCTATAAAGAGAAGAAGACTCGTAAAATGAAGTTACACTTCCACAATAGCTGAGCAAAGAACGCGGAATGCTACAGAATTACAAGAATGACTCATCGAACTCCCTTGAATGCCTCTGGGTATCAAATCACTTTTTGGCTGGGACTGCAACCTATCGGTGTCAAATCAACACATGTAGAAGAACTGACAGAAAATCAGCATCTAGGTGGAATTTCCAGCTTAGGCAGATATACATGCACTAACTTGGATTAAGCTAGCAGGAGAAAACTGATGGAGAGAACACAAGAGTGGCAATCACAGAACCAAGGCTCCTAGACCTGGAAGGCACCTTGAGAAGACCTCAAGTCCTGTCCCCTGCACTCACGGAAAGACCAAGCACCGTCTAGACCAGGGCTACTCAACTTTGGAAGCCCCGGGGGCCACAATGACACTCAAAGCACATGCCGAGGGCCGCAATTTAAATGTGTTTGCATGGATATGTAAATAAATATGCAAATAGCTTCTTTCACACAATGCCTCGGTGCTTTGAGCACCCGTGTCCTAGGGGCTAGAAACGCCAACACCCTGTACCCCTCTGTTCCAGCCAGCCCATCCGCTTGCATCTTTCAATGCTCACCCTGCCTGGGAGACAGCTCGCCGTTTTGGAGTGTGTTCCCAGTGGAAGCCATGTTCAAAGGACCCCACCCGGGGGCAGCGTGTTGAGCCCCACGTGAACCTAAACTGCACCGTGGGCTGCAAAGCAACAGGTTGTGGGCCGCATGTGGCCCACAGATCGGGTGTTCAGTAGCCCTGGTCTAGACCTTCTCCGACAGGCGTCTGTCCAACCTGCTCTTCAATATCTCCAGTGATGGGGATTCCACAACCCCCCTCAGCAATTTATTCCAGTGTTTCACCCCCCTGACAGGCAGGACGTTTTTCCTAATGTCCAACCTAAACCTCCCTTGCTGCAGTTTAAGCCCATTGCTCCTTTTCTATCCTCAGAGGCCTAGGAGAACAATTTCCCCCCTTCTCCTTGTGACACTCCTGAAAACCGCTCTCATGTCCCCTCTCAGTCTTCTCTTTTCTGAACTAAACAAGTCCAATTCTTTCAGTCTTCCCTCCTAGCTCATGTTCTCTAGACCTTTCATCATTTTGGTTGCTCTTTCCTGAACCCTCTCTAATTTCTCCACATCTTTCTCAAAATGTGGTGCCCAGGACTGGCCACAGAACTGGACACAACACTTGTGAAAACACCTTGCAGTAAGAATTGGTTACCCTGTTGGCCTCTGCCTCCTCATGGAGAGGAACGTGCTAGTGCTTAGCAAGGTGCGATTTTTCTCCAGTCACTTTGTTGCAGGGCACCCTGCTTTAGGTGAAGCTACACACAAGGCGAGATGCAGCAAAAGTGATGAATAGGATGAGCGAAGAGATGAAAACAGATTCATCAGCAAAGCAAAACGCAAGCTAAGCTAGACACACTAGTTAGATGGGTTATGAATAAACAGTTTCTCATCCTGACAGATCAGACCCAAATTTGCTTAGCAGCTTGAATCCTAGGTGGAAAGAGACCACAGGAAGTCATTGAGTCCAACCCCCTGCCCAAAACTTGGGTTTCTCCATTTTTTGTCTACAGGCTAGAAATATTTGTGCCTGGCTCTGGCTCTTCCTCAGGTTTATTCTTTGTTCCATCCAGGAGTCTTTTTGGGTGGGAGTGAAGAAGAACCGATGAGATCCCTCCCGGACTTTTATAGCCCCAGCGTAGGGTGGGAATCCATGGTTGTAAGATCATATTCATAGGGCTGTTCACAGGAAATCCTAGGGCTGGAAGAGACCTCAGGAGGCGCCCAGTCCAACTCCTGGAATCACCTGCCCTTGTAGAATCATCACAACTCTTATAGGTTCTCTGGAGAGCCATCAGAAACTCTGATCAGGTGGAGGATACACTTCTCCTAAGGTCCTATGGTTTTCCCCAATGGCTCGTTACCCTGAGTAGGCCCTTCCCAAACTACTGTTGAGGCTAAAAGCATCTTGTCTGGTGGGAGTTACCCCGGTGTGACTATAGATACATTAGTTTCAGGGGGAGCCGAGTTAGTCTCTACAGGATACACTAAAAAAACAAATGGTCTGGTAGCACTCTATAGATTAGCAACATATGTAGCTGGGATCATGAGCTTTTGTGAGCACAGCCCACTTCTTCAGATGACTGAAGAACGCTCCCCTGAGCATCCAGAACTAAAATAAATAGGGGGGACAGGAAAAAAATGGGAGGGGGAGTAGGACAAGAAGAGGCAGTGGGTATACAAATATCAAGGGAAAAGCCGAGCTGGAATGTCACAGGAAAAATAAATAGCTGATAAGCACCTAAAGACTTGATAATCAAAAGAGGCAGATATGGACCATTAGTGGACAATAAGGATACGTCTAGACTATAGGTTTTTGTCAGTAGAGGCTTTGTCAACAGATAGGGTAGGTCTAAACTACATGGCTCCGTCGACGGAGCCATGTAGATTTGTTGTTTTGGCAAAGGCAAATGAAGCTGCGATTTAAATGATTGCGGCTTCATTTAAATTTACATGGCTGCCGCGCTGAGCCGACAAAGAGCTGATCAGCTGTTTGTCCGCTCAGCGCGCTAGTCTGGACGCTCCCGCGCCGACCTGAAAGGCCTTTATCGACCTCCCCGTTATGCTTTCAGAAGCACTCAGTGTTACTTATGGCCTTGTTTGTACTAGAAAATTGGGCCTCTCTAACTATGCTAGTGCGCTGAGCAGACAAACAGCCGATCAGCTGTTTGTCGGCTCAGCGCAGCAGCCATGTAAATTTAAATGAAGCCGCGATCATTTAAATCGCGGCTTCATTTGCCTTTGCCTATGTGTCTAATCTACATGCCTCTGACGACAGACATGACAGCCGCTTTGTGGACATGACAGTGTAGACGCAAAGGACTGTGTAGATGCAATAACGCCTTCTGTTGAAAGAGCTCTGTCGACAGAAGGCGTTATTCCCCGCAGTTTTTGTCGACAAAACTGCCGAGTTCTCTTGACGTTATGTTGACAGAACTCGGCGGCAGTGTAGACGCAGGTAGAGTTTTGTCGACAAAAGTCCACTTTTGTCGACAAAACCCTGTAGTCTAGACACACCCTAAGAGAGCCCGGACAGAGAAAGATACTGTACAAACAAAGCACCATTGGCTTACTACTGCGCTGTTGTGAAGTCTTGCTTGTCTGTCTATGGGATGGTAGAAGAAGTGACCTCAGGAAAATTGCAGAGGGGAAGGGTCCTTTCATTGACTCTGCGGGTATTGAATCTGTTGTCCTTAATCGCCCGGGATTCCTGGGGGCTTCCAAGCCTCTGACAGGCCTGCGCTCTCTTGCCTGAAGAGGACGTCGCCACCCCGGGAAGGCAGCAGCTCCGCCCCAGCCCTTCCTTTGCTGGGAGCCTGAGGCTTTGGGGCACCTGGGATGGGGTGGAGAGCTCCACGCTGGACCCCTCTGACCCTGCAGCCCCTGCTCCAGCCGGAGGACCAGTGCGGGGAAGCAGAGATAGCCACACAAAGTGGTGGTTAAGGAGCCTTTGGGCCCAGCTAGCTCTGCCCTGCAGCCCTGGCCAGGCCTGGAGAGGGGAGAAAAGGAGGGAGCTGGAGGCTGGCTGGTGCAGGGGCTGGAGCCGGCTGCCCTCCCAGCGCTGCCTCTGGGCCAGAGCAGATGGAGAAAGAGGCCTTGGGGCCCTGGCCCCACTGGAACCCGGGGCAGAGCAGTGCAGGGACCTGGAGGGGGTTCTGACCCCCGCCCCCAAACTTAGAACTGCTGCACCTGGAGGAACATGAGAGCTTGCCAGGAGCAGCCGCAATGTGTCTACAGGCCGGCTGGGCAGCAGCAAGAATAGCAGCAGAGCCTCATCCAGTCCACAGTGGCTGTGATTAGGGGAGCTTGCACTGCACTGATCAGGCATGGGGGTGACCCAGTTTGGGACCAGAACCCCCAGTTGGGTGTACACGTCAGGAGTCTACTTGCAAGCCACTGAACAGCCTGTGCAGAAGCAGCCATTTTCTTGAGCATGTTTAAAACCAACAAAAGGAAGTTTTCTTCATTCAGCACATAGTTAACTTGTGGAACTCCTTGCCAGAGGATGTTGTGAAGACTAGGACTTGAACAGGGTTCAAAAAAGAGCCAGATAGCCATTGATGGACCTAACCTGCATGAATCTAATAACCAGAATGGGCAGGGAAGGAGTCCCTAGCCTCTGTTTGTCCAGAAATGGATGCTGGAGAGGGATCACTAGGTGATTCCCTGTTCTGTTTCCTCCCTCTTAGGCACCTGGCATTGGCCACTGTGGACAGACAGGACACCGGGCTGGATGGGCCTTTGGTCTGACCCAGTCTGGCCATTCTTATGTTCTTCTGGCCTTTCAAATCTATGACTTTATAAACCTAGGTGGTATGGGAATGGGGATGGGGTGCAGGGAAGGCTAACCAGAGGGGCAGGGGAGCATGGGGGCACCCCACCCTGATGCTCAGTAACATGGTGTCAGGTGGCGCGCTCGTGACCGCCACCCTCCACTGTGCCTCAGTGCCCCAATTGACTGTCTTCACCTAGTCCACCGCTGGACCGCCTAGAGTCTGTCTCGGGAGCTCATCACTGGCATCACCGCCACCCGCCCCTGCTTCCGTCTTACCCTCCTAGCCCCTGCTAATAGTGCTACCCCGACACTCTCGATACGGCAGGCAGCGGCA